TGGGTATCAATGACAACTATCCACATTATGGAAAAATGTGCAAGTGTTCTGATATTCAATGCTCCTGGCAAAACGGGTTACATGAGCCACGATGCTAATTGACTGTATCACTTCACAACCATAAGAGGCTTACTTCCAATATTTTAAAATGTAATTTTAAGTACTTGTAGGACAAAATTCTCATAGATCTACACTGGTATTTATTTAGTGATAAAAAATGTAAATAAGACTGCTTTTACACGTTAAGTCATCAAATTGACAGAATATCAACATACCTCATTCATTAACACAAATTACATAAGTTATAGTTCTGGYGAGCTTAAAATCAAAAGTGAAGAAATGACAAGATAAAAACAATATCAAAGAATGATGTTTAAGGTACTAAATGCTTGCATAAAAATACACTGCTTATCTATGTCATGGTCTGTAAAAATGATAAGATGACAAGAATGCAGGCATAATAAAGTATTTATTTCTCTACTACCTTTACAATTCAAATACCAAAGAAGTTAAAAAAAATCAGAATTTAAAAAAACAAATACACAGCATATTCATATCTTACCTGCGGTTATGTAACCAAATTATGATTTGAGTCTCCTAGCTTTCTTAAAACAGTTCTAATCACATATACACAAAAAAATAACTAACTCCTCTGAACTTTGGTACATACAGCCTAGACTAAGTTGAGAGGTAACTATATCCTGAGAGGAAGTGAGAGACCATTCTGAAGGGCAGTCTGCAGACAATGGGAAGATTAGCACAAGGAAAGAAAATAGCAGATGTTCCATAAGCTTACATCTCTTGAATATACTACTTCAGCATCCATTTAGCTTGTTCTTTGCAAGATATTTTGTGTATCTCCTTTGAGAAATAGGAATGAGRTATGTGAGGGACCACAAGTTCATTCTGGCAGGGTGCATTTGTCTAGTTTTCAGGAAAGCATTTGATAAAATCTGAAGTTCAAACATATGGTTCAGAGATTTTTACTGGTTCTGTTAGGGAAGGATATTTTACAGTGGTTGGAAAGGTGAATTTGCAAGTTTTATCCTTACTATTCAGAACTCAGGAGGTCTACTTGATACACATTAAAAGTGTTATTCCAATGATGGGCAAAAACTTGCCCTCCTGTATCCATCTATGAATCTATGCTTTCATAGTGAAACTTGCCAGTAGCTGTAACTGTACTGTTAAAAATAGTAAATAAAAATAAATATTGTTGCAATTCTCAGCCAGCATGACCACAAAAAACCTTATCCTACCATGCCCTAGGTTATTCATGACACTTTGAAGTAGTCAAAAAGCAATGCTTGAAAAACTAGCAAAAAAGATTCCAGCATGATAAAAGATAAAGCTGCTTGCRAAGGTAGAAGCAAACACTGGCAGACATATTTTATTATTTCAACTTAAAGTGATACAATATACCTACACCTATTAAATGTAGCTTTATATTATTAAATACCCTCGTTATTTCACTAAAATACTGTATTTTATCACTCTTAGTAAACCAAATGTATGCACTTTGAAATATACAATTTTGACCATAACCAGCCTGATTTGAAAAGTAATAAACCAGTTCTATGGTTTCCAACTCTTTCGAGTCTGCAACAGTCTAACCATTGATCATTCCATAGATTTATATAAACAGACACCAACCCTGCTCCTGCCCGTCCGCCCCACCAAAAAAAAAAAAAAAAAAAATTAAAGCCTGGAAACAACACCTCTGACTAAGCATACCTATTAAATATTTTACTATTAAAAAACTAATAGTTAACATCAATATGCCAGCACTGACACTCAGCACCATGCATGAATACCAGTTAAAAATAACGGGCTAGAGGAACAATAGTTAATAAAATGGTTCTGTTACTTTCTAAGTACAAAATCCTTTGGAAACTCTGTTTACAAGTTCTTCCTACCACAAAGTCAGACTTCATGCTCATGAGAAATATAAGGGGAAGGAATTTTAAAGTCCCTCCTTCCTTTTCTTCACCACAGAAGTAACAATTGCATTAAACTTTGAGACTTTTTTTAAGCTACACAGTGAAATAGTAGCTTTATAGTGTGGAAGGAAAAATATACATGGAGGCAGCTGCAACCTTACCTTTCATCTGCAATACCAAACAGAAAAAAATAAAACCAACTCTCTCCAGTGCTCAAAGATAATAGTATAGGACAGAGCATATAATAATAGAATAATAGAATAATAGAAAAAAAACAGCATGGCTTGCCATAGACATGCAGAAAAGAAAATCGATATTCTCTTGTTCTTCAAATTTTAATTCCTGTATGTATATTCCATTGGTAGCAAATCACAGATAGCAATATAGTAAGTCTCACCAAGCTACCACCTCAATATACCTATTATTTTCTACAGTCCTACATAAGCCTATGCGTTACAGAACATGCATAAAAAATATTTTGAACTCATGTTCACTGTTTGTTTTGGAGTATTTTATTGGTTGTTTTTCATTTCCAAGATGGAGAGTTAAATGGAGAATTAAAATATGCTATGACTCTAATATTATAGATTATATTAGCTACATCAAAACCCTTCTTAAGAAGGACAAAATCCAGAGAGAGACTACCCTGACTACAGCAGTACTACTGCTATTATAACCTGTGGTATGCGTATTTTATGCTACACAAAGACATTGCTCCAGGATCAAACCATGAGCACATCTATCAGTCTGATCCAAATAAAGCTTTGGGAACAGAGGGGCAGATAACACCGCTTCCATTGGACATGGAGTCTTTCTTTCAGGTGTACATTTGAAATATGGACTCAGTGGTACCTTGTTGCTATTAAAGATTCCAGACAGAAGTTGTGTCATAAAAGCCTGTGGCTTTTATACCCACCTAACTGATCTTATGAGCATCAAGGCAAGTATTTTAAGCTTGAAGTGAAACCAAGTTCAAATGACAAGTAAATTCTAGGAAACTTTTAAGAACAACAAATCAAAGAGCCACTCTGACTACAGTTGATGTTCAGCTTTCTCTTGATAATAAACATTTGAGATAAGAAAATAAGAAACAGCACAAATATACATTTGTATATATGTAGGAACTGTATATTTCCCACACTTCATCTTCCTTTTTCTTTTTTTAATACAATCCATATATTAAGTTCTTCTAGTGCTAGAATTAATGCCAATTATGACTCATGTCTTACCACTTGTGTTAAAAAACTAAAAAAATCATCCAAGTGTCTTGGACAAAGTTGATTAATAAATTATGTGAAAAATAATTTACTACTTCTGTTACTTTCTTGCTGTMCTTCATGATTTCATGTACCTTGACTATATCCTTCATATATGGGGGATATGAAAATTGGCACATATAATGAAGAACATCAGCCTATTTATTCACCCCTCAATTAAAGTAATTCCCATTCTGAGGGGAATTCACATTCCCCTCTGATTACTACTTCCCTTTGTCTTCTCCTAGTCTAATTCATTCTTTCTGAAGATGACCAAGCAGGTGAACAGAATTAAATACCCTCTAATGCCCTAAAGTGGCAAAGAGGTGCTGATTTTTCAAATAATGTCTTCCCAACTAGATATTTTCTTATCTTTTGCCTCTAATGAAGGTTACATTTTCACATCACAAGTAACATATAATCCAAGACAGTTAAAGATATTTTTTGTCCACAAATACTTTCTTTTTCAAATGTCAATTGCATTTGTTTCCACACCCTCAAAATCACTCAATATCATGAGAAATTACAACTAAAATATTACTAAGGAAAACCAAGATTTTTATTTAAGCTTCCATAAAGCACTGTGAGAGAATACAGAGTGGCAGAGGGGAGGGAAGAGGAAGGAAACAAGTCAAAAATGACTGCTAAATAAAGGATAAATGTCTTCTTTACCTCAGAATGGTTAATTTTGATTATCTGCACTTACAGTGAGTGACTGTTTACCTGAAATGAGAAATTGATTCTTGTTTATACAAATCAGTGCCTTTGTCAGAATTTCTCTGTATATATGAGACCGTCTAGTATTTATCTCTTTTTATTACTATCAACTAGCTCGTCTTCAGTTACGGTATGAGCAGATAGACAGAACATACCAGAAACTGAACTAGTCCATAAAGATCTCTCTTCTTCTACTACTGTTATAAGTGAAAAGTATTTACCATTTTCTCCACACGATATATTAACTATTTCACAGCTAGCTAAATCCCATAAGACAGCTACAAACCCCATTAGCATATGGCAGTTAAGGTTTAGTTGGTGCTGAAAGGAGCTGGGACTGCTACCAGTAAAACAGGAGCAACTTTTGCTTTCAGGGAACCTCAGTGCCCTGAATTAGGATGCCTCCATCCAACCATCATTGCATAGACTGCATATTCAAGAGATCTTTGGGTCAAGAGAGAAGGAATAGGGGGTCAGCCTCCAGCCAAAACGGACCAATGCAGGATTGATATTCTTTTCCTTGCAAAATGTTCCATGCCTAAAGCTCAGCAAAATGGTAAGAGATAGGCCTACAGAAAGGGTCTTCAGTTCTTTCCTCATCTATATATCCACACTGACTTCCCTTACACCTATCACCACAGCTTTATTACAGACTTTTTCAGAGAATATATAACTTTCTAATATTGTATTTGTTATAATGCATARAAAGACACATCTTATAGAAAATTGTTGCTAATAGCGGTAATCAAGAAATTTGCATAAGAACAAGCAGTTTCAAGTGGAAACTTCAATGGAAACAGGAAATACCTAAATCAAGCACCTTTATATGCTTTTGGTTAGGCAAACCATGAAATGGAAGTTCCAAATATAATTTCTGTAAATATTGTTAACAAATAGCTGAATAAATAGGGCCAAATCAAAGCAGAAAATACACAAGGGTGTTCATTTATATAGTAATGCTCAAAGAGGGATATACCTTTTTTTAATATAAAGCATCAGGATTTGTAGAAAATAGTGATAAGGAAATGAGAACTAAAACTGCAAGCTATTAACGTGAGAAATAATACAAAGCCATTGCAATACTTACCACTGTGAAATTCATAACCTTCAAAATCCATATCGTCATTGCTAAGTTAACAATCATGGTAACCAACAGCAGAAGTACAAAGAAGTATAAGCACCTCTTTCGCCATCCATAAATCCCTACTGGATAAAACTGAGGATTTTCAGTCCTTGGGAGGCTGTTCTGCTGTGTTGCTAATATATACTGCTCTCGTGTCATCTGGAACGGAAAGAGACATAAATAAAAATTGGGGGGGCTGCATTTCAGAGATTTTTATTATACAAAGAGATTGTATAGGAAATCAGTTTCTACTGTAGGAAGGGTTGCATTAATTCTGTATAAATCACACAAAAGTTATTTTAACTAGGCATTTAGTAAGAAACCACCAGGTTCTTAATAGTAAGTAAATCTTTTATTTGAATTATAAATGCAGCTTCAAAAGTCAATGTTATCAGTAACAAKCTGTAAAAAAAAACTATTGTAATGCAAGCATGATTTTATAACCATCATACTAAGCTTTAGTAGCCGTAGAAGATATGTGAAAGTAGAAAAAGAGATACATAAAACAGATTACATATTCTAAATTCTATTTCTGAATGTCTATGCTGTTGTGAAATCATTCAGAAAAACAAATTCTGAAAAACTCAGCCATATAACTCCATACAAATAGAGAAAAACCTGTCCCTTCTACACATTAGTTTTAAGTATCATAATGAAGCTCGCTCTTTTTTTTTACTATGCTCACGAAATTTATGTCATCACATATACTATGTTTTACACAAAAAGAAACAATGCTAACTCTGCCCTTTAGGTTATGTTGATAACATCATCTACATCTGTTATTTCTTTTTTATTTTTCTTTCCTGAACAAACCTTAAATTCTTTCAACACACAGGCAAGCAGTGAGTATTTGTAGACCACTTAAAGGTGTTACCATTAATTATTTAAAACAAGTCCCTTACTGTGTTTCATAAACCATTTTACTTTTGTTTCCATTTTTACATCTTTAAATTTCACAAATTTGCCTTCAGTTCGGTTGTCACACTGCACTTCACCAGAAAAATACTAATTTTTCTTAATTTCATTTTATTGACTTGATTTCATTTTTTATTTTTACAAATTATTCTTGAAATGTGACAACTTGACAGAAAAGTCAACTCAATTACCCAAGACAACTCTAGTTTTTGGACAGAATTCTTAGGAGAACTTCTTAGATCAATAACAGTAATGAAATCTCACTCCCTGACATAGCCTTAATTTGAGGCCCAAAATATTTTCACACAGATAACCATAGTGCTATAGCAATGACCACTTACCATTATCACATCCTTTCCCATAGATTCTTTATACAGAAACAACTCTCCCATAACCCACGTTATATGAATTACTTGATTTTGTTGATCATTTCATCCCATTAAAAACCAAAATTAACATTTTAGATCTGTTCAGCATGAAATTGCACCCAGCTATCTCGCTACCTCCATCAAGTCACTCTGTCCTTCTCATCACACCAACCCATGTAACATCTGTTTTTCCCAGCCACAGACAAGGATCAAGGGCTTGCTTTTCTAAGAACTGCGCATAAATACGCACATAATAAAAAGGCATAAAGAATTTGCCATCATGCTGTAAGACCTTTTGGGGCTTACCTTCTAGAGGTAAAAATCTGGCCCTGTTATTGTTATGGGCAACACACTTCATATCTACTTGAAGATACATATAAAAGATCATCTGACGATTTTTAAGTTACTTGGAAATAAACCAAATTCTACTTGCTCTAGCTGTAGAGATGGAGTAGATAGAAAGACTGCAAGTCCTAAGACAAAGGAATGATCATCTTTCTGCAWCATGTTTTCATATCCCAGAACTAACTGGAGTGATGTACATGAAGTACATAAGCCTTAAGCACTTCAGATGAGTATTTTTAGCTAAGGAGTTGCTGCGATGAGTACTGAGGCACCCAGTTTCAGTTTTAATAAATCARAAAAGTACAAAGAAATTCCAGAACTGTAGAGGATCAAAGAAGTTATTTCAGTGTTTTGGATGTGAATTACTCTTGCTAAACAATGCAGAATAGCAGACAGAGTATCTTAAAAAAATCTGACCATTTTTTGCTAATAATGTTTACTGACAATACCTAGATATACTTCATATATATTTATACAGTCACAAATACACACACACACACACCTTTATATAGATATATATGCATACACATACCAACTTTTGAAGGCTTTACTATTTCATGCCAATCAATTTCCAAAGTACATTACAAAAAGGTGTACTGAAGTTGTCTGACTGATAGAGGTTATTAGGAAGGAACCAATACTCAATGAACATTTAAAAAGTTGGAGTGCAATACTAATCTTAATGCTATTTCATTTTTCACGCTGTAGGAAAATCATTGGTACTAATATTTCAAGACAAACTTTCAAACTGYATTCTGTGTTACCTGATTTTCTGAAATAACTGAAGTTCAAGAAGCATAATTAAAGAAATAATTACATTAAACAAGGGTTCCATTAAATATTTGAAGGATTTTGCCTTAAACTGATGAACTGCTTCGGATACACATACACAAAAGAATAAGCAACCCAGAGATACACATTAAAGAAATTAAAATAATTTCAGTATTATGAAAACTARTAAGATTTCTAATGAAAATCAACAAGTAATACACTATTGAGGAACTACAAAGGAATTAAAACAGCTCTCACTCTAGCAAAAGCATCCTAACACAAGATAAAGAAAATTATCGTATCACAAAATGATCTTTCCCAATACTATAAAAATATGATCATGCACATTTCAGTCACAGATAACTGTGACTTGCACAGAAAAGATTTTCTAATGCTGTTTCCTGACACAGCAGACAAKGAAGCAGGAAGAAAAAAAATAAATCTAGAAGGGAAGTGGTTCACATCAGCATTTAGAAGGGGTGGGGGGGGAGGCAAAAAGTCTACCATTAACTAGCCATAGCATCTGKTTTTTCATGATATTTGATAGGTAAATTATCAGATTCCAAAACCARAAGGCATCTCCCTCTCACCCTGCCAGCAACATGCCCACTGGCCAGCGGCTCAAGCTGTGGACACCTCTCTTTTGTATGACACTTGTGCAAGTCGGTCATTTTGTTCTACTCTACACAACCTGTGACCTTAATTAAGCTTACAGATGAAATATTATCTCACCATTTTCTTCACAGACTTCAACTACCAAGTTAGGATATGTGCTGGAAAGTTCACCACATGCGTCAGGTGACCCTGCATGAGCAAGAGAGGTTGGATTAGATGACCTCTAAAGGTCCCTTCCAACCCTAAGGATTCTATGATTTTTATGACTTACATTAGCTAAGCTCTCAGACAAGCTTTGGAGAACATTATAAGTTTTATTTTAAGAAATATTTATGCTCTATATTTTATGTTGGCTATGTCTAAGATGCACTCTGTCAGCATTTTTGAAAGATGCATCCAAAAGACTTCACTCATCACTCTTCAGTCTCCAACTGGAAAAACCTTAATTTCCAGCTTSACTGTAAGGAGAATGGATTAGCTCTGTTTGGACAAGATGCCAAATTTTAGAGAGTTCAAGATTCACATTCAAGTTACTCAGATGCTTTCTTGGTTCAGCTGTGGATTTTTGCCCTGGCCACTTCCAGAAATGGAGAGGTAGCTGTGCAGAATCACACACTCAAAAGTCCCTTTGCTTTGCTGAAAACCTAAAGGTGTAAGATGCAAATATACAGAACGTCAGTATAAAGCTGTCTATAAAGTCAGTCAGATAAATTACCTAATTAACATATTTTGGAGTATAACACAGAAGAAACTGCTTTTTCTTCTTGGCCATGAAAATAGGTTGACATTATTGTCAGCAAGGCTCAAGTCAGCATGTCTTTACTGACAATTTTGCTTCGCTTYATATTGTCAATTAGAATTCTACTTTTTTGCTAAGTTGATATAATTATATTACTACAGAGACTTCATTACAGCCACAGGCAGGGCAGCAGCTGAGGTACACAATTTTCTCCCCACGACGCCAAAACCCACTAAACAGCTATTAGAACAATTGTCTATAGAAGGACAATAAATGTTTYCATCTTGAATGTTGTTCTCTAATAAAATTATCACTTCAGAAACATGGAGATAAGTGAACTGGTACTATTACCATTATTACTTGGTGGGAACATCTATGGTTGTTCTGTATTTAACATATGTAATTGTGATGCTCACAACACAATGAAGTTCACAGCATGTTAGAATGGATAAATAATCATCTAATGAGCAGAATTATATTTTTCTCCACTATTCTATAATCTGAAATGTTTTTAAGTAGTAACATGCTGTACTGAATTATTTAAAGCTGGATTCAAGTATTTCYCAGGTAGTAATGTTTTCTAGTCTGTTCCCTAAATTAAATTTTCAATAATCAAGACAATTTCAAGTGTATTTAAGGATGCTTTCATTTCAAWAGTTTATTACTTCACTGGTTTAGTTTTATTATCATCTATACTTATATGTCATGATTTAAAATAACTTTTAAGACCAAAAGCTTCCTGAATATTGTATGGTTATTGTTAGATGAAACTACACTACAGATATGATGTATTATAAAGATAACCTTGATTAAAGTGGATGAGGGTAGCAGAAACTGTAGCCACAACAACAGATTCAGTATAACCTTGTTTCCTTAGGGAAAAACAGACACCTGAAAAGATGAATAGATCAACTTACATAATATKGAAAGATACAGCTGAATTCAGCTCTGATATCTTCACTAGCTTTTTAGCTCTAGCTCTGGGACTCTCATATATTCCTACTACTAGATTAGTAGGATTAACAAATCCACAGATTAATGACTACAAGCAGCATGATCCCAACTTGGTCTTCTGCTTGGCTGCCTCTTAAGTACATAAAGARAGCAAGGAGGACAATGTTTTTGTTCAGGATATTCCATCAAGACAAGACCTAACAATCATATTGATGAAAGRCAGCAGGGCCAATATTTCAGTAGATTCGTTAGCTTTTCTGAGGGATCTGTTGAAGAAAAAAAGTTAYAGCAGATAGTAGCACTGAAAACTGCCTCTAAGAGTGCAGAAAGAATGCTGTATTTTTCAAGGAAAAGAAATGCAAGGCTATATCAGAAARTATATGGAATGAACCATCTATGAGATGACACGCTCTCTTCAACAACTCTTTTATCCTCTACTAGGAAAGCTGAAG